AGGTATAAGGTAAGGAAGATATGATAAAGCTATGATGGAGATGAAAATAGAATAAGGGGTGGATAATGTCCTGGGTTGCAATGGTATGTATTCTATTTTCGTCTCCACAAGCTGTTAAAGAAGGTGGGGCAGTGATCCTTATCACCATGTCCCTGATGGCTCCCTCAGGGGGCTGTCTCTGATTAATGAGCTGCCAAGGACCCATACATGACACATCCGCCCAGTGATCCTTATCGCCTTGTCCCATGGTGAGGTGACTCACCCCAGGGGTGGGGAGCCAAACATGCTCACAGGGATATAAGCCGGGGTTTGGACCAGCACAGGGAGCCCTTTGCCTGCTGGATTCCCAGAGGACAAGAGCTGCTGCTGGACCTTCAGGAGAGGAGCAGATCTGCGGGATCACTGCTCCAACAAAGCCATTGCTCCAGGAGGACTGCAGCTACCATTTTAATCGGACTACTACTAACACCCTGACTGACAGGGTGTCAGGTTACTTTCTGACTCGGTCAGGTTATTTTTGTACTGTTGCATTTGTTGTTGTTTTGTTGTGTTGTTCATATTCAATTGTACTTCTGACTCGGAGTCTCTCGCTGGTTTGCTAAAAGCACAGGGTCACAGTCCTCCACCAAGCTGTCAGTGATGTAGCTGCACTCAAGGACACTTTCATAGTAGTTTTTCTCTGCAAACGTGTTCACTGTCCAGGGAACCACTTGAATTCCTCTTTCAGACCAGTACCTCACATAGTCCCTGCAAGGAACAAAGACACTGTAAGAGGAGGCTGACACTGCCATGGTTAAGGCAGACAGTGCTGAGGCTACAACTGAGTTTTAGCCTTGCATCAGCATCACATCGTGTCATCTTTTGCAGCATCATCTTTTTGTGTTTCATTACTGCAAACAGGCAAAAGCAACAGTTTTCCTCTTTGAGATTAAATTTAGGATCTAACATAACATAAAAACACAGATTAAAAAGATAGTAGCTTAAAATAATAAAATAGCACCAAGTACAGAAACTGTCTAAAAACCTTACCCAACACTGAATGGAACATATCAGTAAGCACACACTGTGCTTGTAACTCCACCTTGTATACAAAGAGAGTGGTAATACCCCAGGATACAAGAGCAAGCTTTACCACTTACTGAGAAACAAAATTTTTCTCTATGAGGAAAGCTGAAATCCCACACAATCGCCACAAGAAACTGTGTAGGCTCCAATCCAGGATGACGTCCATCGCTGTGTACCAGTAGTGTTTCCAGAAGGAGCTGAAATGGGGTATCCCATCCCCAGAGTGACTCAGGTGCCAAGGCCTGTGTGTTAGTGCTGTCACAACATTCCTGTCAGCTCGTCTCATCTGGAAGACCAAGAAGAAAACACTGGAATTCACCCAAAAGCCCAGCTCCATTCAATACAATTTTTGAGAGCTTAACTGCTTGAACTCATAGCTCCACCAGAATCCTTCTCCTCTTCCCCTCCAGATCCTTTGGTAACTCTTTTAGAAAGCTGTTTATGATACTTTTTATTTTAAACATACTGAATAAGCACCTGTTCTTAAAAAGTTAAACACCACACAGGCAGTGGAATAAAATACAGCGTAGGTAGACTTGGCCATGAGAATGAGGAAACAACTTTAAGAATAGTTTACATTTACATCAAAACCAGAGGTTTATTTAGCAGGTACCCTGCACACAGTTGGCCACCTGGCAGCTCTAAGAGCAATGCACTTTCTTCTGCGTCGCTTTCAGAATGGGGGGAATTGTTGTAGGGTCACATCTAACGAGCAGAGTGATCTAATGAGATCATGCATTATGCTTCATTTGTTTTTAAAAATCTTGGCAATTTTTACAACCTAAAAGTGGGAGTTGTTTATCTGACTGAAATTCCCAGACAGAACTAAAAAAAAAACCCCAAACTCTTAGGAAACATCACCTTATAAACAACATCTGGCATGAAAGAACAGACTATGCTGCTGTTGTACAAACGTGGAAATTCCAGGTAGAGTTGTTTCAGGGCATCAACTGCCTGCAGGGAGAGACACAGATGTTACACTTATACGTACACTCAGATTTACACTGCAAAGCCATTTTAGAACAATCCCCTTTACAAATACTTTCCTGCTCTGTGTAGCAAGACTGAAACAGATGGAGGGGGAGAAGAAAACCAGCATCTTGTTTACAGCATTCACACAGAACTGACATTTGGGGTCTTGCAACTGAAATCCTCTTCATGATTCAACTTACAATGACAAGTAGCATTCTCAGTGTTTGAAATACCCTTAAAGACATTGTGGATATAATTCTGAAGTTCTACCTAGGGTTTACTTCAAGAGGAGAATGAATTAATTTCCATATTTTGCTATGCTAAAGAAAAAATTATGCTAATTTACATGAAAAGTTAGTGATTGATCTGCCTTCAGTAATGCAAATTACAGATCCCTTGCTGGAAGCTGAAGATGAGGTAGTGGCTCCCCTCAGCACAGGGAATTCACTTTGCTTTGTTCCATAGTGGTGCTGTGAGCTGAACACAACACTCATACAAGCCTTGTGCTAATTTTAAGTTGCAGCTTCCCAGGACTATGGACAACACAGAGAGCAGATCTGGTCTTGCATGTGATAGGGAAGGGACTGTACCACATGTATCAGTTTGAGACCAACAGAACAGCAGGTTAGAAACCCAAAGAAGGGCTGAAGGAAGGTGTCATACTACAGTGAGTAGTACCTGGTTTGCATGGCCTTTGACATCGAAGTAGATTGTAAGATTGTGATGCATAGACTCCACGACAGCTTCTCTCAGAGTTGGTACCTTTTCATCTTGGAATTTGTTCCTGTAGAAACAGAGAACTCGCTGGAATGCAGTTAAGACACACATGTGCACACACATGCATATCCCCAACCACACAAAATTGTTTCCTAAACGGTTTGCTACACTAGTATTAGAGGTGGGATCAAGCAGCACTAGCAGTGGCAGCAGTGGCTCACACCCAGTCAAAGGCTGCACATGTAGAGGGATATGTTCACATCACCTTTTCCCCCAGTATCCCACTGGACAGTTAAATCCTTCCAAATTCAAGGTCTAATCTGATGCTCACTGGCCTCATGTCCTAGACCAAAACACTCACCCCAGTTCTTTACCTCCATCCCCAGCTCCCACAAACAAGCCTTCAGTCCCAGCTGCTGCCTTCCTCCTGCTCTGATGCATCCCCCAGCCCTGAGCCAGAAACATAGACCTTGGCACAACAGGCAAGACAAGCTGAGGATGGAGAAGCAGCTTTGCCCATCAATAAATTATTCCTGATAGGGTGACAGTGAACAACAGCTGATCACTGGTCACTGCCTGTGTGGAAGTTCTCGCTGTGTGGCTCAGGTGATCACCTTTCCAGAGAGACAGGGGGGATACTACTTGTACCACAGACTCACAGGTAGCACATTTACACAAGTCTGAAATTCCCTAATGCAGTGTCTCAGGAGAATACACTAACCTGTTTCACATTAGATGCCTGTGCATTTTGTCCTCAAAAGCCATTTACCTTGGCTCTGCTTCACTGTTCCCATCGTAATGATGGGTAAGCAGATAGTGTCTCACACCCTTCTAAAATCAAATTACAAGTAACACATGGGACTAGAATTTAAATTTGCAAAAATTTTCATCAGTGATAGATCAAAGAAATAATTTTGGTTTATCAGGAATGTTTTTTTTTCACTGTTGAAACAGTCATTTCAGAACAGCAACAGTTGGTTTACCGTAGCCTGTGCTTTGCAGATGGATTAAGCTTCCTAATTTCATCAAAAGTCAAGTCACACAATCTGCCAGATCCATCAGTTGTCCTTTCCACTGTGTCGTCGTGCATTAGAATGGGAACACCATCTGCAGTGAATTCAAGATCCAGCTCAACAGCAGTTGCTCCATTCTCAGCTGCCTTAAAAGAAAAGGTAAAAAAAAAAAATACATACACAACAGAAGAGAGAGCTGTATAGGTTTGATACAGGTACAGACAGAATTGGCTCCTGCCCTGGCTCTTTCCCAGGAACTCCTCAGAAACACACTTGAGTGCAAACAAGACCAATTGTTCTGAAGGACAAATACCCTCCTGGGAAAAGGGGCAATGCCCCAGAAACACAAGTGCCAGGCATGCACTAGAGGTTACTCTGCAGGTGTCTGCCAAGCAGCTTCAGAATTTATCAGAACAAAGGGCTCTGCCTGGTCCAAAGGTAAGAGACCAGCAGAGCAGCAACATCTCACCCTCACAGATACAGTACATTTGAGGGACTCCTAACTGCAACTTCAAATGATTCTCAGACACAGACTGTGAACCCTGGCTGCACTGTGATGCCTCACAGACAAGGCAGCATTAAGTCATGGCAAGGCTGCACACAGTCAACTTCTCTCAGTACTGGAGTTTCCCTTAACTGTGGGTTCTCATTGCACGTCTTCAAGGCTTAAAAAGCAAACGACCTGTGACTAAGTTGCTCTTCGTTGCTACATCAGAAAAATACAGTGTTTAATTATGGCTGCACTGATGGAAATATCCATCAGCACCAAGGCTATAGCACAGCTCCCACAAGCCTCTGGCAGTGTTCAAAGCCAAGTTGGATGAAGCCTTGAGCAGACAGGTCTAGTGAGAGGTGACCCTGCCCAGGGCAGGGGATTGGGACTAGATGATCTGTAAGGTCCATTCCAACTCCTGAAATTCTATCATTCTATGATGATCTGATCCAAATCCCCTAGGGGATGAAGGACTGACCAGCTACAGCAGCTTCCTGCAGCTCTTGGAAGAAGCTAGAGCTGTTCCAGTTGAGGAGGGCTAGGTGCCTGCTGAAAGGCTGGAATACCAAACACAGCCCACCAGATCCTACTGATAACAGGAATTGAATAGTTAAAGCTGAGAGTAGGATAGGGACTAGTCAAGTAAGGGAGCACCTGAATAAACAGAAGGTAAAAGATTGACTAATAAAGCATTGTTTTAGTTTATTAAGCCTGAAAAGGGTAGAACTTAGGGCATTATTTTTGCTTAGGGTGTGTAAACACAATGTATTTATGAGGGAGTAAAACTAGACGCAGCTGAGCTCAGGACCTGGCAGTAGAAGAGCAAGACCAAAGAGCATGTGCCAAACTCAAAGGTGAAAAGATCAATCTGATGAAGACCATTGGCCTTCCTCCCGATGACCCCCAGACGACCACCAGAGACCACGGGACTAATGCCAAGTGGGAGGAGATGAAGGAGGAGATTATGATAACGATTTCAAAGAACTAACTGTAATAATTACCACCTATTCCTGGAAATAATGAATACGTATCAGCATTTAACGTATATAAACCTTTTGTCCCTGGTTACACAAGTTTGATGGAGCAATCGCCCTTGTGCCCGGCGCTGAATAAACAAATACCTGCTACTCAGAGATACAAATCTATGAGTAGTTCTCTTCCAGGTTTTCTCGGCATTACTATCCCTGCCCACCAGCCTCAGCCTGTCCCCCATCAGACCACGGGGACGTGGCTCTCTCCACAGAGCATCTGGCGGCTCTGCCTCGCCCCGAGCGCCGCGGAGCGTAGGGCGCTGACCTGTCGGATGGCAGCCAGC